TTCTATGCTTTATTTCAGTGGAGCTCTTTGTTGTGCTGTCTCTTTAAAAGCAGGGACTCAGTTTCCTATTACCCTCTTGCTCTCCCAGACCTGAGCTGCTGATTTTTAAAGTTCCAGGTGTTAGGCACCACTGATTTTAAGAATTAGCAAAGTTAAGGCCTCTGGTTTTCAAAGTCAAATGCTCTGGGGATTTATCTTCCCAGTGTGGGTCTCCCATGCCTGGATACTTGGTTGGGATGTAATTCTTTCCCCTCTCCATGCCCACAGCATCCCTCTCTCCTGTGGACAGTCTTGTGGGTCAGTTTGGCTCCTGAACATATCTCCACCCTTCTTACCCTCTTAGATGTGGCCTCTTCTCTACATTTAGCTATAGAGTCTATTCTGCCAGTCTTCAGGTCATTTTCCAGTTTATTTATCCTGATGTGGGTGTTATCTAGGTCTAACCATGGCATGAGGTGAGTCTAGGATCCTCCCACTCAGCTGTCTTCCCTTGAAGTCCCTGAAAGTATGCTAAACTTTTAAAGGTACCATGTCATCATATTCTCAAGCCTGGTAAAATCATGTGCTTATTCAACCCCTAAACCAGTAGTTCTCAAATGTAAGCATGTATCAAAATTGCTTGAATTTAAATGCAAAGGTCTCTGGGTCCCAGCTCCAGTTTCTGATTCAGTACCTCTGTAGTATGCCTGAGATTCTGCATTCCTAACAAGTTCCTAGATGATACTAATGCTCCTGGCTTATAGGCCACACTTTTAAGAACCACTGGCATAAGTCAATTTCCAGTGCCTAAAGACATTGAAAGAAAGTAGGCTGCTAATGACAGAATCTTCATTAAGGTAATCTAAATTCCTATTTTTGATGTGGCCATTAAGGGCAATGAACATAATTCAAGAGAAAAACAACAAGTGCTTAAAGATCAGGTGAGTAAGGGCCTCATTCCATTGCAAGGGCAAGAAGTCCTTATTCCAATCCAAAACTATTTTATATTCTATGGACTGAGGACCACAGCACTATTTCCCATCCTCCCATCATCCAAATGATTTTTTTTATTCCAATAATCATGTTCTATCTTCCCCATTGTATGTTGGGATAGTTAAAATTTAGTTACATTTTTCTATGAATCACAGGCAAGTTGATCCAAAAGTTCATATAGAAAAATAAACACATAAGAATGGCCAGGAAAACATTGAAAAGGGAGATATTAAGGCAGAACTAGTCCCATCAGGTATTTAAACATTATACCATGAAACTTCCATAAGCAAAATACTGCAGCACTGGAGCATTGGAGCATCAAATCAATGGGACAGAATAGAAAGTCCAGAGAAAAGACCTAACTACATAAAAATTGTAGTGTATGATAAAAGTAGTATATCTCAAATTACTTTGACAAAGTTAGTGTTTTCATAACTGGTGTTGGGAAAACTAGATTACCATTTGGAATGGATAAAAATTAGATACATTCTTAATACTACACACAAAGATAAAATTGAAAAGGATCTCAGAAATAAATGAAAAATATAAAGTATACAAGTACTTGGGCGCCTGGGTGGCTCAGTTGGTTAAGCGACTGCCTTCAGCTCAGGTCGTGATCCTGGAGTCCCAGGATCGAGTCTTACATCGGAGTCCCTGCTCAGCAGGGAGTCTGCTTCTCCCTCTGACCCTCTTCCCTCTCGTGCTCTCTTTCTCTCATTTTCTCTCTCTTAAATAAATAAATAAAATCTTTAAAAAAAAGTATACAAGTACTGAAAGAAAACACGTGTTACACTATATCTTGGGTGTTGGGAAAGCCTTCCTAACTATGATTAAAAGCATTGCTATAATGAAAGACAAATATGATAATTTCGATTTAAAACATTTTTAGCATTTTTTCATGGAAAAAAATATGATGAGCAACGTAAAAAACAAGTGACAAGCAGAAAGAAAATATTTGCAATATATATCAGATAATAGATAAAGGGCTAAAAGCCTTAAATTGTATAAAGGACTTTTAAAAGTTGAAAAATAGAGAAACCAAAACGTTATAGATACAAACATATGCAAATATATTAAACTTCACTCAAAATAAGAGAAATGCAAACTAAAAGTATACTGAGATGTTATTTCTTACTCCTCAGCTTGACAAAAATACCAATGCCTGTTAATACACTCTATTGGTGAGGCTATGGAAAAACAAGTCCTCTCATGCATTGCTGGGTAGAATGCAAAAGAGCATAACTCCTGGGCGCCTGGGTGGCTCAGTCGTTAAGCGTCTGCCTTCGGCTCAGGTCATGATCCCAGGGTTCTGGGATCGAGTCCCACATCGGGCTCCTTGCTCGGCAGGAAGCCTGCTTCTCCCTCTCCCACTCCCCCTGCTTGTGTTCCTGCTCTCGCTATCTCTCTCTCTGTCAAATAAATAAATAAATAAATAAATAAATAAATAAATAAATAAATAAATAAATAAAAAAGAGCATAACTCCTTGTCAATTTTTGCCATTCTAACTGGTGTAAGGTAGTATCTCAGTGTGTTTTTTTTTTTATTCTTATGTTAATCCCCATACATTACATCATTAGTTTTAGATGAAGTGTTCCATGATTCATTGTTTGTGCACAACACCCAGTGCTCCATGCAGAATGTGCCCTCCTCAATACCCATTACCAGGCTAACCCATCCTCCCACCCCCCTCCCCTCTAGAACCCTGTTTGTTTTTCAGCGTCCATCATCTCTCATGGTTCGTCCACCCCTCCGATTTCCCCTGCTTCATTCTTCCCCTCCCGCTACCTTCTTCTTCTTCTTCTTTTTTTTCTTAACATATATTGCATTATTTGTTTCAGAGGTACAGATCTGAGATTCAACAGTCTTGCACAGTGTGGTTTTGATTTGAATTTCCCTGATGGCTAATGAGATTGACAAGACAAGAAACAACAAATGTTGGACAGGTTGTGGAGAAAAGGGAACCCTCTTACACTGTTGGTGGGAATGCAAGTTGGTACAGCCACTTTGGAAAACAGTGTGGAGGTGCCTCAGAAAGTTAAAAATAGAGTTACCCTATGACCTAGCAATTGCACTCCTGGGTATTTACCCCAAAGACACAGATGTAGTGAAAAGAAGGGCCATATGCACCCCAATGTTCTTAGCAGCAATGTCCACAATAGCCAAACTGTGGAAAGAGCCAAGATGCCCTTCAACAGATGAATGGATAAAGAAGATGTGGTCCATATATACAATAGAATATGACTCAGCCATCAGAAAGGATGAATACCCAACATTTGCATCAACATGGATGGGACTGGAGGAGAATATGCTAAGTGAAATAAGTCAAACAGAGAAAGTCAATTATCATATGGTTTCACTTATTTGTGGAACATAAGGAATAGCATGGAAGACATTAGGAGAAGGAAGGGAAAAATTAAGGGGGGGAATCAGAGGGGGAGATGAACCATGACACTATGGACTCTGGGAAACAAACTGAGGGTTTTAGAGGGGAGGGGGGTAGGGGGATGTTTGAGCCTGGTGATGGGTATTAAGGAGGGCATGTATTGCATGGAGCACTGGGTGTTATATGCAAACAATGAATCATGGAACCCTACAACAAAAACTAATGATGTACTGTATGGTGACTAACATAACACAATAAAAAAAAATATATAAAAAATAGCATAACTCCCATGGAGTGGATTTTGGCAATAGCTAATAAAACTACATATGTACTTACCCTTCAATTAAGCAATTTCATTTTATAAATATACCTTGACCATACCACTTCAAAAATATGAAGATGTATATGCATAAGGTTATTTATGGCAGCATTGATTGCAAATTCAAATCAAAACCACACTGTGCAATATAGCAAATGAGAGAAATGTGAGTCTTGAAGCAGCAAGAGAGAAAGGCACGGCCTGGGTTCTAACCTGTACTTAGGCAGGGAAGTGGGGCACAGGGATAAAGGAAGGAAAGATATAGAGAGGCCTCTATAGGCTTAAGTAGAGCAGGTTCTAATCCTAGAAGAAGCTAAAGTAAAAGGACATAAATTCTACCTTCAAAAATAGGTCCCCAATATTTTCAGTCTATCTCTCCAAGTAAATAGGACACTGGGGAATCATGGGAGAAACAAATTGTGGTCTGCTTCTTCTACTACTTACCGTACCCTCCAGGGCAACTTAAGAAGATTAAATCAGCTTTAGCCTGGTAGGCCTGAATTATTTCAGGGCCCCACAGACCAAAAATCACATTCCTTCCTTATCTTGGTAGCTAATGCTTAAAAGGAAAATGCAAAAAAAGTAATACTTCAGTGAGAATAAGCTGCTTAAAGTATAATGATGTATACATGGTTATCAGATATTTTACTAAGGGGTTGGAGGGATGGAAGGCATGAAAGAGGCAAAAGCAGAAGAGAGATGCAAAAGAGGTGGCCAGTGGGAAAGCAGTTACTGCAGACTTCCCAAAGTTGCCCTAGGGTCTAACCTGTTTACCTTTAAGAAATTTAGAAAAATAGAAGAGGTACAGAGATTTTGATTGCCAGCTCCAAATGCATTTCTGAACCTCATACAAAATTGTTTCTATATGTGTATGCATAGCTGCTACAACCTAACACTACAAATGCATGACTTTTGTTGGGGGGGGGCAGCATTTATGTTATTCTACTTGATACCAAGCTTAAAATATTTTTTCCAATACCCAGAGACTAAGGTTTTAATTTGTTGTACTGTAGAAAAGGTTGTTACCTCAACTAACTTGCAGACAAATGTATTCTCCTGGTAAGTCCTAAAAGTATTTTAAGTTTTCATCTTCATTTTCTTAAATTACCTTGCCTTATAGGAACATGAGAAGAATAATACTAAAGTGGGTAATATTACAGTTCAGGAAATATCAAGGCAAATGCATAAACAAATATCTTGAAGCACTTTTTTTTCCAACTGGCTCCTAAACAATATTTAACAGCTTTTAATAAAATCTGCAAATAGCTGTATGTGTTTATAAAAGCAGAGTTTTACATCTATAAATGATCAAGCAAGATCAACTGTAAAATGTTAGAAAGTTGCAGCCTTTTTATTTAGTACCCAGAGAATGCCAGCAATTTAACATGATATCGTGATAAATGTTGCTCACAGAGTTTTAACAAGAACAAAAATAATTTCTATGTCATCTTTGGCATGTTGTAAATTCAAAATGATAGCCATTTCTTTAGCAGCACTGTGAGGGAAAGAAACAATGTAAAATGCACTACTGGATTTGATCTTATATGAAAAAAGTACAATGAAAACCATAATGTCAAAAGAAATAGTGCTTTAAAGAAAACATTTATAAAATAAATGATGGTATAAATTCCATAATGTAGTCAGAGAAAGAAATACAGTTATCTGAACAATTGGGACCTTTTTTTTTTAAATTGCAACTTTTGAGTTTTAAAGTACACACAATTTCTATTTAACACCACTTCTGCCTTGAGAGGTGTAATAAAATGCAAGGAAATATATTTTCTATATCAGGAAATAAGTTTAGGAATCCCAAAGTATATAGGAAGTGTTGGCAAGGCATTTTTAATTGTAACTATAGCCCCAAGCTTTGTTCTCTCTGCATAAATCTTATGTAACTCACAACTACCAACAGTACTGTTTTTTTTTTTTTGAATCAAATACAGAAAAACCATATTCTCTCTTTTTTGTACTGTGGATTTTAATGCAAAATAAATTCTCATTTCCAAACCATGCTGGCATTTGGATATTTAACTAAGGTTTCTTCTATAACTTTTAAAATGGATGGGTTTTTTTGCTAGAATGCCTTTGTGATGTTAAAAAAAATTATTATATTAAAAAACAAACTTACATTTTTTGCTATTAGTGGTATCTATTTTCTGAGTGAATTTGAAAAGAGAACTCAAATGTGACCTGAGTAATATTAGTTTGATAGGAAAGAAAAAAGCAAATAAATCCAATTGGTCACATTATGACAATTTATTAATAAACTAATGCACTTAGTACGTTCTCTAGAACTGTTCTACATAAAATTAGATGTTTAATAAATACCCTTTGAAGAGTAAATTAGTTCACATAATTAGACAAATAGTACAAAAGCTAAACAGTCATCCAAGGAAGCTCTATTGTCCAAGGTTTAGAAATGTGAATATAGAACAAATCCTAACTTGCCAATCACATATATATTTATTTCTAAGCATTTAGCTAAGATTTCTTGCTGGTCAATAAAAAAGGTACATAACTTGTGGAATATATATAAACAAACTTGAATTTATATATTCTAAAAATACTTTCCCTTTGTATTTTTCTTCATATTTCAAAGAAACTTATCCTTACAATTTAGGACAATTTAGGACTACCTTCAAGAGTTAGCAACCAAACTGAATTTTAGGTGATCAAGCATTATCATTTTATTCAAATGATATGACGGACTTCACTATATTGTAAGGATAAAACCAGGAACAGTGCATCCATGAGTATAATTTATTTGTGAGTAATCACTATCAATGCCACTGCACTCTTGCATAGGAAGGCAGATAGCACACTACTGAATTGTTCTGTTAATTTCAGCAATCGTTTATATTGAGATACACATCAAAAATACCTAAATAAGCTTTGAAATGTAAGAAAATGTTCTAAAGGATTTTAATTGCAGTTGACTTAATATGGCTTGCATTCTTGTTGAGAAGATCAAGGATCTCTGTGTCCTGAAATGTAGACAAAGGATCTGCAGACTTGGACTCCACTGATAGTTTGTACTCAACATTTCTATGCTCTTATTTATCAATACAATAGGAATAGAGGCTGGGGGAGCTGGAGACTCCTTATGTTATAGGCTATGAACTATGAGAAACAAGAATACAGATAGATATGCACTTAACAACTGTCTCTCCCTCCACACCATTCTATCATATAAGTTCATTGTGATTAAAAAGTTTGGAAGTTTCTTGGAAGAGAAAAAGTATAATGAGAAGTAGAAAGGATGAAGCAGGGCACAATAGAAACAGTTTATGAGATAATCTGATCCTGGGGCATATTGTGTAAATTCCTTGCCCAGAAATAACTTCCCTGATAATAACTGATAAACAATTTATTCTCATCCGGTTAGATTGCCTAAAAATCCAGCAACTAGAAATTCATTAGATTAACGGACATCTTCCTTGAAAAATGCCAATTATTTATTAGCCACTGACAAAAAAAGAGAATTAATTTATAAATGAGATCACTCTCCTTTCATCCTTTTAGCTGAATATAGCTGCTCTGTGAGAATGGAAGTTCTGATTTGGGGAAGGGAAAGGGTGTGAGGTGCTTTTGGGGCAGAGAATCCTTCTGGAGTAAGCTTTAATCATGATGGAGTCCTCTGTGAGGTACGCAAGTAGGATAGCATGTGGGGACTGGAAAGCCAGGGAAAAAGAATATACAGAATGCCACAGACATACTTTGCCTAGTTTAAATCCTAAGCTTTCTAGTTGATCTTAAGGCCAAGTTAAGCAGTTCTTTTCCTTTTTCATATATGAAGGGCCTCATGCTGTCAGGAAAATACTATTCAAATCAGTATGAGTAACTTCCTATGGACAGTACTATCTTAACATGATGTTTCAATGAGGAGACATTGTAAACACCAAGCATCTGTTCTTAAGTTTGTGGGTTGCTTATACATAAGAAATCCCTTTGGGTTAACCAGAGGTTCTATCAAAATGTTTTACTATATGTAATTATCAATGACAATAAATTAAAAAAATTAGGTTTAGGCATTTCTGGGTCTAACAAAATAGGCTCAAGTTTGATTTTCATGAAATAACTGAAACCATTCTCCCCCACAAAATCACCACCACTAAATCTTAATTATCTTACCAATGGTTTCCTGAGTTTATTCATGATAATATGCGCTTTAGGATAATAAATTGTTAGTCTATCTGGGCAAACCTGGTGTTTTCCCTTTCAGGAAAAAAATATAATATCCTCTTCCTTCCAGAACAATAAAAACTCAAATTGTGCTATCATTAAATACTAGCAAGAACCATCAACTAGAAAGAAAAACAATGCAAATTAATTGTTCATGAATCCATTAAAAACAATATCCTAAAATTTTATAGAAAGGATTTGTTTCAGTGGTTAAGCATTTTAGAAGCCCCACCAAAAAAGCTCCCATTCACATCTGCCTTTTTTGCTCTAGCAAAAAAGCTAGCTCTAGACATCCCTACCTGGATTCCTTCTACAAAATCAGGGTATATAGTTTGAAGACTTCCCTTACAGTAGGGTTGTCCCAATTACTGTTTTTAACCTACTTTGTTTGAACTTTCCAGCAGAAATGTTTTACACAATTATTGGGAAAATCCACTAGCATATCTGTGTCCTTTATAATTTGTCAGTCCTCATTGAGCAATGAAGAATCATGTTGTTCATTGCTTAATTCTGTGTTCCTTTCATGAAAGGACTGTATGATAGTACCCTTCTGAGTAACCTCACTGAAAAATTAATTAAGATCAGCTACTTTTAAAAACTATTGATTATGGAAAGATTGAAAGTTATTTTGTGATAATTTTTCACTTTCCAATTTCACTTACCCTAATGCTATTACTAGAAAAGCATACATGGAAATATTATCTCTGTTCTGAGAAGTTCAACACCAAAATCATACCTCTTAGTTTGTTATATTAATTCCGATAAGAAGAAGGCATGACAGCACAAACAAGATGACAAGAGGAAAGTAAGTCAAAATATATGGACACAAATTGTTACATGCAAGTACTTCTAGTAATAAAGCAAAATGAGGAAAGAAAAGGCCAAATTGGGAAATAAAAATCCACAAGATATGATACCAGTCTATTTCTAAGTAATGTTTTCCATGTGGCATTAGATGTTTTTTTAATGTCTTTCAATTATTGCAAAAAGACATCTCAAATTAAGGGTATATACTTTTATACATCACACCCAATAAACAGATTTTTGTACATGGAATATATATCACTTACATTATAAAGAGAATATGTATAGTTTCCTTTATTGAATACCGAAGTTACAAGTCTTCTAGCCTAAACTGTATACTTCAGTGCTCAGTAATCAACTTTCTCTCTGAATTAAACAAAATAAAATACACAGCAAACAGTACATTTAGCACTTACAAGTAGTTCATTTATATTCACTAAACAAAACTGTAATATCCTCCAGTTTACATTCATGAGTTTCTTTCTGTCAGTAGTAGTAGTAATAATAGTAATAGTAGTAGTAGTAGCAGTAATGGTATTTTCTTCAACAACATGAAAAGATTCTTTAAAATTCCATCATTTAGAGAAAACAATATATATTACCCAGTGGTTCTGAATCATAAGTTTAATAAGACCAAATTTGTCAGACTTTTTTTATAAATACGATTAAAAATGTGTTCAGATTTTGTGTAAACCATTAATATTGCTTCCTTTTCAAAATGTCAGGTTATCTCTTTGTAGCATTATCTAAAGGTTTACTGAAATGCATTATACTGTATCATGTGTGCTAAATCCACTACAATAAAATTTAAACTATATTACCATAGGATTCAAGGTAAATTAATATGTTACACTGTAATCCAATTTTGGAAGGCCAAAAAACAACAGTGTAGTTCATTATAAAAGGGACAGATAATGATTAAATCCAATTGATTAACTTGAAACTCAGCTTACATATCATGAACGTAGTAGCAACACATGTACTTTATTTTCAAAGGCTTAACTATAACCTATTTAGTAGATTACGACACCAGTATAAAGCCTTTGGCTAAAAAATTTCTCAATTGTACTACAATTCCATTAGATGTAAAATTTACAGAGGACTTATTGAAACCTTTAATTCTTTTTTTTTTTAATTTCTAGATGAGGACATTTATAGGTAGTATACAGGTCTGTCTGCACACATAATTTGTGATTTAATTCTTTTGTAAAAACTTTGGCACCAGCTATATCAGGAGTTCACATATTAGCACAAATGAATGTAGTCCTTTGGTTGTACACAATAACAAGCTTCTATGATACATTTTTTTGTTTTTCTTTTTAAAAAAGCCTATTCTTCAGGATCTGATGTTAAAAAATAATTTACATTGCTTGGCAGTATACTATTATATTTGTATCCTGATTATTGGTAATGATTCCCCAAATCATTATTTTATGAGACCAGAAAAACTATTAAAGTAAATTTTTTGAAAGGAATTTTACAAGTGAGTGTGCAGAAAAATTGTTAGGACCTTGTAGACACCAATTATATACTTGAACACTTGGACACTACTGCAAAACAACATTGTATGAGTACTGTGGACCTGTGTTTTTTAAATCTCATCTCCCTAAAAAAAGGCATTTAAATAGAATATTCAAGTAATGTAGAAGATGATGCCTTTGATATAAGATTAGGCAAAAAGCCACACATTTAATTTTTTCTTCATCCAGTATGGCTGAGGTGAACACTAGAAATCTTACAGGCCAGTTGATGTTCGTTTTTTCATGCTGCGTCGCTGAGCTAAGTTTGAAGCAGCAACAGGCTCAAGGACTGGTTGAAAGGTCTTGTGAGTCAGGGCAGAATATGTGGTGACCACTGCTCCCTAAAATAATGAGAAATAAGACAAATTGAATAACAATCTTTGGAGGTAAAAAAAATTCCATATTATATCATGAGAGATTTAACTAGAATACAACCTTATTTCTGAGGCAAGTAATTGCATACACTTGATCTATGCACTGATGTTCCCTTCATGAATTAATACCTGCTTATTTGTATATTTTTTTTATTTCAGTGACTATGCTTCTTCACATCTTAAAACATTAAAATGTATTCTTTTTATCAGCCTTTCATCACTCATGTAATTTGTTTTAAACATTTTAAGAATTTTATTTTTAATAGAAGTTGTATATATTTAAGACATGGAATATATTGTGATATACATATATACAGTACAGTGATTACTATAGTCAAGCTAACATATCTTCTCTCACATAGTTATCATTTTTTGTGATGAAAGCATGTGAAATCTACTCTTATCAAATTTCCAATATTTAATACAGTATTATCAACTATAGTCATCATGCTGCACATTAGATACCTAGACTTATTCATCCTACATAACTACAACTTTGTACTTTGACCAATATATCCCCATTTTCCCCTCTTCCCTACCCCTGGTAACCACCTTTCTACTCTCTGCTTTTAAATATTTGAGTTTTTAAAATTTCCACATATAAAAGAAATTATGTATTTTTTTCTTTATGTGTCTGGCTTATTTCATTTAGCATGTCTTCTAGGTTCATCCATGGTGTTGAAATGGCAGGATCTCCTTTTTTAAAGCTGAATAATATTCCATTGTATATATGTATACCACTATTCATTTATCCTCAAAGAGATCTCTGTGCTCCTGTGTTCAGCGCAGCATTATTCATAATAGCCAAGACAATTGAAACAACCTAAGTATGCATCAACAGATAAATGCATAAAATGCTAAAATCTTAAATCTAGGTTCAGTGTCTATAAATATGGGAATTTGCACCAATGGTTATTAATTTAGGAACTAATATCAACTTTTTCTTTCCATATGAAACTTGTATTTAGTACACTTCTAGTCCTGGTGTCTCAAGAGCAAGTCAAATACAATCAAAGAATTCTTATTTATCATCCGAACAGCAACAGGTAGAGAATATTAACAAGAATCCATGGTTGTTATTTAAAAAACAAAAACAAAAACAAAAAAATCTATAAATACACTTTAAAAAATAAAGGTATTTAAGGTAATTATATGTGTTGTCAGTGAATGGCATGCAGGCTTTATTAAACATTTAGGAGATGCATAAAAGTATGTTTGTTTTACCTTAATGACATGTGATGTATCATTTCTATTTGGCTGATCATTCAGCAACTGGTCTCTGTGGGTTATCCATGAGTGTTTTAATACTTGTTCTGTAGTGTATCGCTGATGTGGGTCCATATGTAGCATATGGGAGAGCAAATCCTAAAGTAAAATGAAAAAAATATATGTATACACTTATATGAAACTATTTAGTAGCAAAGGTTTTAATAAAATATATTATTTCATATTTTCTCAAAATATAAAAGCATCAGTAGCTTTGTGATCTGTTTTGTTTGACGTATACGCAGGGAAAACCAAACCTATACTCTGCAGAGTTAACTGTCAGAATCTTCAAACAGATTTTTTGATATATGGTAAACCCTTATTTGTCATTTCTAAATCAGAGGATACCAAATCTGTGGAACTGGACTGTTAGTAAGGGAGGAAGAAAATGTAAAGTAGCAGGGGTTATCTTGGAATGTGCTAAATAGTCAAGGAGAAAAGAGGTATTGATCTTTGCTGGTAAGCTGGGCCCTAAAGTATAAGGGTATGTGTAGAATCATACAACATAGAAGGGAAGGTCCCATGTTGTTAATATACTCAATAGGTGATGGTTTAAGTATAAAATACTGAAGAAAGCAAGACATAAATCCAAGATTGGCAGCTGACTGCCAGCATTATAGTGGTCAGAGTATCATAAGTTTCTCACAGACTGTGAATATGCTTACTTTATCTCTATTACAATAACAAGTTGTAAATATAATATAACCTGATTATAAAACACAATTTTAAATATAAACTATCTCTACCAAGCATCTTTTAGAAGAAGGAAAAGTAAACTCTCCTTAACAAGCATCATCTATAAAAAGTCATCATTTGTGAACATTTCATCAATAGTATAAGTAGTGAAACTAAAGACTCTAAGTAGTAACATCAGAATTTGAAAAATAATGAAAGTATGTAGGAGAATAAAACAATAAAAAATCTATTGGAGAAAGGACAAATATGCAAAAATGAATGGGGAAGTAATTTAGAAAATAACATTGAACTACTTCAATAAAACAGACCTAATTGATATTCATAAAAAATGATAAAAGTTCAATAGTCCAAGGACTTCTGCCTCTAGCCAAAATAGAATACCAGAGGCTGGATTCACCCACCTGTTTGAAACAACACTCCCCACCACACATACATACACACACACACACACCAACCATAAAATACAGGAAACAAGTTTTTCAGAGATAAGATATTAGGCAATAAAGGCAAGTGATCGCTAAGAGATGGAAAACAAATCAAGCAAGCCCTATGATTGCCCAAACTTACCACCTTGAGTGTTTTCAGGCTGTTGTGTAGGTAAGGGAAACCCAGGCAGTGCCTGGCAGGTTCCTTGAGTGGATGAGACAGAACTGAGAGTCAGGGAAGACCAAGGCAGACAGGGTTAGCAGGACTGACTACTAGAGTGGTGAGAGGAGCAGAGAAAATACTACAGAGACCTGTAGAGGGTCTTCCTCAATTATTCAGCAGATTATTGATAAACCAATATCTGTGGGAAAAACTATTTGAAAGGGTTAGAGGGAAATCAGAACTCATAGGGGTAGACAATATTGCTTGTTCTCACAAGTCAGACTGGAAAATCTCATAATTCATGGAGTATTTGGTAGAGTACTTGGAAGTAACTTGCCTGAGTAGTGTGTAGCCCTAAATACTGCTCTGGTCTTGCCTAAGAAATATTAAAAGGGAGACCCCAAATTATTAAATTGTTTCACATAACTTAATTGTGCCCCAGAATAAAGCTCAAGAATATGTGTAAGAATACAAAAGTGTCCAGCATACACTAAGGAAAAATTTACTATATCTGGCTTCTTATCAAAAATTGTCAAGCATACAAAAGAGAAGAAAAATAACATATGAGAAGAAACCAATCAATCAAAATTGGCCTGTAATTGATACATATGTTAGAATTAGCAGATAAGGACATTAAAACAGTTATTATAACTCCATTCTATATATTAAAAATAGAGACACAGAAGATATAAGAAGTCACAAATCAAATTTCTAGAGATAAAAACTAAAATGTAAGACAAAAAAATTAAAATGAATGAAAATTTGATATGGCAGGTAAAAAGATTGGTAAAGACACAACAATAGATTCTATCAAAAAGGAACACAGCATAAAAAAAAGAACAGAGCATCAGTGACCTGTGAGACAACTTCAAGCAGCATAATACACAAATGCAATTGGTGTCCCAAAAGGAAAGAAAGGAAGAAAAAATATGTGAGAGAATAATGTTTCCAAAATTTCCAAATTTTACAGAAACCATAAACTTACAGATCTAAAAAGCTCAATGAAGTCCAAGTGCAAGAAAAATAAAGAAAATTATATCAAGGGCATCGACCCAAATTTCTCAAAATCCAAGGCGGAGAAAACTTTAAAAGCAAATAGAGATAAAAAAAAAAAAAAGACATGTTACATATAGTGAAAAAAATATCAGAATGATAGAAGATTTCTTGTGAGAAAAAAAAAAATCAAATAACAAGACAATAGAACTCCTGAACAACCAACGGGTCAAAGAAAAAAACAAATGGTAAGTTAAAATAAACCAAAACAGAAATAAAACCTGCCAAAACTTATGGGATGGAGCAAAAACTGGTTTAAGAAGGAAAGTTTATAGCAATGAATGCCTACATTAAGAAAAAAAGAAAGATCTCAAAAAAGAAATAGGGAAACAAGAAAACTCTCAAATAACTCAACCTTATACTTCAAGGAACTAGAAAAAAAGAAAAAGCTCTAGAACAGGAGGAGGGACATAATAAAGATCAAAGCAGAAATAAATGAAATAAAGAGCAAAAAAACAATACAAAAGAGAGAACTCAGAGCTGGCTTTTTGAAAAGATAAATAAAATTGACAAACCTTTAGGCAGACTAAGAAAAAAAAGAAGACTCAAATTAAATGCAAAATGAAAGAGGAGACATTACAAATGATGCCACAGAAATAAAAAGGACCATGGGACTACTATGAAAATTTATACCAACAAACTGGATGACCTAAAAGAAATACATAAATTCCTAGATATACATATCCTACCAAAAGTGAATCATGAAGAAAATCTGAATAGACCAATACTATGTTAGGAGACTAAAGCAGTAATCAAGAATCTCCCAACACAGAAAATCCCAAACAGATGGTTTCACTGGTGAGTATACCAAACATTAAGGAAAATAAATGCCTACCCTTCTAAAACTCTTCTAAAAATTGAAGAGGAGGAAACATTCCCAAACTCATTTTATGAGGCCAGCATTACCCAATATTAAACCCATATAAAGATACTACAAGAAAATACAGGCTATCATTGATGACTATACATGCCAAAATTCTCAACAAAATAGTAGCTAACCAAATTCAACAGCACATTAAAAAGAACACACAACATGATCAAGTGGGATTTATCCCTGGTTTGTAAGGGTAGTTCAATATTCTCAAATCAATCAACATGATACACCACATTAATAAAGAAAGGTTAAGAACCACATGATCACTTCAATAGATGCAGAAAAAGCATTTGACAAAGTGCAACATCCATTCATGATAAAAGCCCTCAACAAAGTAGGGTTAGACAGACCATACCAAACCCAATAAAGGTCATATATGAAAAATGCACAGCTAATAACATCCTCAATGGGGAAGAACTGAAAGTTGTTACACTACAGTCAGGACAAGACAGGGATGTCCACTCTCACCACTGTTACTTAACATGTTACTGAAGTCCTAGCCACAGGAATCAGAAAAAAAAAAAAAAAAGAAAGAAAGGAAAGAAAGGAAAGGAAAGAAAGAAAGAAGAAGAAAAGAAAGAAAGAAAGAAAGAAAGAAAGAAAGAAAGAAAGAAAGAAAGAAAGAAAGAAATACAAAGCATCCAAATCTGCAGAGAAGTCAAACTTTCATTAATTGCTGATGACATGATACTATATATAGAAAACCTAAAAGACTCCACCAAAAAATTGCTAGAACTGATACGTGAACTCAGTAAAGTCACAAGATACAAATTCAATATGCAGAAATCTGTTGCATTTCTATACATAAGTAATGAAGCAACAGAAGTAGAAATCAAGGAATCAATCCCATTTACAATTGTACCAAAAGCCATAAGATACCTAGGAATAAACCTAACCAAAGAAGTGAAAGACCTGTACTCTGAAAACTATGAAACACTGATGAAAGAAATTGAAGATGACACAAAGAAATGGAAAACATTCCTTGCTTGTGGATTGGAACAAATATTGTTAAAAAGTCCATACTACCTAAAGTAATCTACACGTCCAATACAATCCCTATCAAAATACCACCAGCATTTTTCACAGAGCTAGAACACACAATCAATCCTAAAATTTGTGTGTAACCACAAAAGACATTGAATAGCCAACACAACATTGAAAAAGTCAAGCAAAGCTGGAGGCATAACAATTGTAGACTTGAAGCTCTATTACAAAGCTGCAGTGATCAAGACAGTACGGTACTAGCACAAAAACAGACACATAGATCAATGGAACAGAGTAGAAAACCCAGAAATTAACCCACAACTATATGGAAAAAAAGATGTTCTCTTCAACAAATGGTGTTGGGAAAACTGGACAGCAACATGCAAAAGAAGGAAACTGGAACACTTTCTTATACCATACACAAAAATAAATTCAAAATGGATGAAAGAGCTAAATGTGAGGCAGGAAACCATCAAAATCCTAGAGGGGAGCACAGGCAGTAACCTCTTTGACATCAGCCATTGCAACTTCTTACTAGATATGTCTCCTGAGGCAAGGGAAACAAAAACAAAAATAAATTATTGGGACTTCATCAAAATAAAAAGCTTCTGCACAGTGAAGTAAATGATCAACAAAACTAAAAGGCATCCCATGGGGTGGAAGAAGATATTTGCAAATGACATGTCTGGTAAAGGGTAGTATCCAAAATATAAAAAGCACTTATAAAATTCAACAGCCAAGAAACAATCCAATTAAAACAATGGGAAAAAGATGCCAATAGACATTTTTTTCCAAAGAAGACATCCAGATGACAACACACATGAAAAGATGCTCAACATCACTGACTATCAGGGAAATACAAATAAAAACTATAATGAGATATCACCTCACACCAGTCAGAATG